CCCTGGCTCAGACTAAATCCTAGTGAGCCCCAGTTATTAGAATAAAATGTAGCTCAAAAGAATAAGCAAGCCCCCATGGCATGAGAAAACAAGCTGGGTGGACAATAAAAATAGACTGGGACAGGAATGGCTGGGATCTTTTATAAATCCTTGGAAACATGGTACGTGTGGCCTGCATTTTGGACATGTTTCTTCAGAAGATAGAGATGCTCTGTCACAAAAAGCAATTGTAGATTGTGAGTAAGCCCATTTAGGAAACTATCTGTAAAACTGGTGCTTCGCATGATAGCAATCAAAAGTATTTCTTATTCTTATTCTTCCCATAAGATTCCCAGGGCACCCATCTACCATACATATGCAAACATGTATGCCACAGTTACTAATCAATCTTAAAAGGAAAGCATGTTTTCATGGAATTATGCTTATGTATAATGGAGCCAAGAGGCTCTGCATATTTCACAGTTTTTCAAAACTCGTTATAAACAAATATGCATTATATTTCTGCTAAGAAGATAATGTTTCGATAAGATTAATTTTCTCTGCACACTAAGTTTTGAATGTAGATGCATGTAGTAGGAAACTACAATTGGTTAAAACCACATTTAATTCAAAGAAAAGATATATGTGGTGCTCCTACCACCCTTTACAATAGGTTATACTGACTAGTATGATTGTGAATTGTAGTCCAACAACATAGGTAGGGCCACATGTTCCTAAGACCTCAGTTAAGCATTTATAGCAAACATGGACAAACTTTGGTCCTCCAATGGTTTTGGACTTCAACTCACACAATTCCTAACAGCCAGTAAGCTGGCTGGGATTTCTAGGAGTTGAAGTCCAAAACAGCAGGAGGGTCAATGTTTGCCCATGCCTGATTTATAGGTTAGACCTAGACATTAATATAAGTATGTGAATGTTAAATAAACTTCCCCATTTTTTTGTACACATTTAAGATGGAAGTTGGTTTTCTTTCTTCACTAATAGAAGGTCCCTCTCAAAGCTTTTGTTAACCTTGGTGCAGTGCCATTCCACCTAGTCTTTGCAAGTCATGTTGGCTGTTATCCTGAAAATCATATTAGCTGTTGTCCTGATTATAACCCAGATTTATGATCTCATAACTTTTGGGATTCACATTTACTTTCATTAAGAACCAAGCATGTCCCCTACAACATAACTTTTCAGCAAGGCATTACTCTAGTAGAAGAGTTTCCAAGGTGCTACAGATCAGGCTAGTGGAGAAAAATAAATGCAGGATTCTCCCAGTCACTGAGAGTAGTTGAAACAGGGCTCCAAGGGTTTACTCTGACTTTCTGTTCTCAGTGTGTCTCATGAGCAGGAGAGTGCTGCAGATGATTTGAAGATTCTGTGGCCAAATGCAGCCCATGGGGTATACTTTCTATTGTTATTTTTGTTATTGTGTGTCTTACAGCAAACCTAAGGTAAACTTATTGCAATGTTTTCTTGGCAAGATTTGTTCTGAAGGGCTTCCCATTGATTTTCCCCCCGAATGCCAAGATAGTGTGATTTGCCTGAGGGCATCTGTTGGGTTTCTATGGCCAAGTAAGGATTCAAGCTCTGGTTCCAACCCCACCCCTCTTTGGAAAATTCAATTGCTGCTTCTTCCTCCAGGAACATGGAGATTCCAATTCATCAGGACTAATTCATCTACAGTATATGCTTAATGCCACCAACACTAGTAACTTTATAATTCAATCACCTATATATAGACCATGATTTTTTATTTCTCATGTCAGGGCAGCCAATCAGTCTAGTAATATAATAATAGACCATGATAACTGACCATGATAAGTACTATACAGCACCCAATATACCCTGGACATTATACTCCAGATCATTCAAGAAAATGCATTTCCTACTACCGCCTTATTCTGTAGCAGCATTAGTGATAAATTATATATTTTTGTTCAACTATCAACCAGTTCACATTCAGTTTAAAATTCTGGGGCACATGCTGTTCAGTCCAGGGAACTTGTTATTTCTGTTTGTTGTCATATCTCTTTGACCTAGTTCTTGGGCTTCTCTGTCACAAACCCCATGGTCGTAGTATGTGCATTCCTCTAGATCCAAGGGAGAGAATCAGTCCAGACTTTCTGTTTTTTCTTGTATTCCTTCAGAGAACCACTAGAATGGTTTCCTTCTTCTGGGAGGCAAGTTGGTTTTGATAGTATTTCTGTCCTTTTCCCAGCCTAAGGAGTAGCACTGAAAGAAATGTACAGCTTATATAAAACACGGGACCCAAATATTGGTAAGGATGGATAATAGGACTGGTCCAATATAAGACCATGACATACTTTAAGGGTGTCCTCTTACCCCCTTAAACAGCCTTGATTCATAGATAAATTAATAGCATCAGCAGTAATCTTTGACACTATTCCAAAAGCAAAAATATGTGTTGTTTTCAAATACTTAATCAGACCTACAGAGAAATATTTGGCTGAATGTATAAAATATTTGTTATCTTTCCATAACATTTAGCAAATACCTCCTACCTTCCCCAAGTCTCAACTCCCCACAGCATAGATGACAGCTTGAGATAGATTCCTGAAACCTCTAAAAACAGCACCATCATTAGATCACTCTGTGGTTATATGACCAACAAGTCAAACACAAAAGTGTGTCGTCTAATTTTCCCCCTTCTGTGAGCAAAAATCATTGGTTTCATCCCTGCTATTAAATGCCTCCCCTCTGCCTCTTTGTATGTTACTCCTTCAGCATGATGAGTCAATATACCATTTGCAAAGGACACTCTGTGTTTGGGTCCAAATTCCACCTTCTAGTGCATGCAAGCAACTCCCACTGACTTGAGCAGCCGCTGATCACATGTCCACCTCATGGCAAAATCTGGCTTGCATAGTACTTCGTGATCTGCTCCAAAGGGTTACAGAACTTCCAGTGCTTTGTTAGACAAGAAGATGTAGAACACTCAGGTTTTCCATATAATCTACTAAGAAGGTGAAGTAAAAAATAGCAGTAAAGTTGAATTACCCATATTCGTGAAAAGCTTCTGGGGCTACAATGTAATTGAGGCCAGCCTTAGCATTTTGCATGTGGTCATGCCTGGTGACATAAACTGAATGTGGCAGCAAGGCATTGAAGGGAAAAGCTGTGTGCTCTAGGATCTCTAAGGTAACCTGTTATCTTCAGACATGGTGGAGAATGTTCTTCCACTGTCATTATTGCACAAAGATCAACTCCCAGCCTAGCAATCGTATATGGTATGAAAAGAGCACCATTTCATTCTTCCTCTCAAACTATAAAATAAACTTTGATGATGCTGATAATAGGAATCAAAGTATTGAAGCAGAATCATAAAATTGGAAGGGCCACCTAGTTTAATCCACTGCCAGGCAGGAATATACAATTAAAGCACTCCAGAAGGAGAGCCTCTTTTTAAAGATCTCCAGAAAAGAAGAGTTCACCACCAACAACACACTCTATTCCACACTCTAAATAAACTCAGGTTTAGGGTCTTTTCTCTGAAGGCCAAATTGCCTCTTTTATATTAGCTTGTAAATTACTTCCAAAGATGAATATCCCCATGTTGATTTATGTTCTTGACCAGAATATATAAAACTGGCTGGGCCAAATTACTGGTCCATTGACTCAAATACCATCTACTCTAACCCAAATAAACTTTTTTCTGGCTTCTGCTAACTGACCACTTGTGCTGTGGGGATTGTAGGTATTGAGAATGTACATTTCATTGTGCTGTGCCAATGAAACACAGTTATCATGACTTCTCTTGTTATTAATGGCTTTCTCCAGTTTGACATCTTCAAGATCTGCTAAACTACAACTCTTGTAAGCTCTAGCCAGTGTATGATGTTCAACACATTCAGGGGGCATCCAGTTGGATAAATCTGTTATACATCAACAGTGGGTGAAGAATCCCAAACCTTCCTACAGTTTCAGCTCAGTCCCATAGGCTTCCCTCAAAGGTCATGCCCTGGTCACTTACCATTTTTGAAACAGGTTTCCCCCCATTTTCTATTTACTGATCTGTTTGAGGAAGGTTGTTGCCATTGGTGATATAGAATAGACGCCACTCTTTCAGTGAATTGATCAACACCTTGAGAGATATGATGGGATTGACCCGAATCTGTGTTTACTGCACGCCTTTTCTTTTCTAATGAAGACAGGGAACAGGAACTGATTTGGTGACTACTTCAAAAAGGCATGTTCCTCCAAAGGCAAAGAAGATATTAAACATAGAAGATATTAAAAACAACATGCATTGACTATCAGTGTAACAGATAAATTCAGTTATTTTAAATCTAATGAGTAAGCTAATATGTGGGTCTATGGCCACACCATGGCCACAGTGTACAGTTTATTGGAGTCATTAGGGCTGAATGAGGACTACAATGGTTCAAGGCAAAATCACACACAAAGCAACTGTGGAACTAAAACACTAGAAGATGGCTTTAGGAGAGGATAGATATATTAACAAATTACAAATATACATTTATTTATGCTCTGAGACTTTGCTAACTTTCATAGCTAGCCAAGACCAAAGCTCCGCCACAAAGAGGGAGTTTTGAGTTTCATTGTTTTTGTTTCTGCACATGGTAAATTGTCACAAGAACACTTGTAGGGACAAGGGTAAACAAACATTTAATATGTGGACAAAATGTCCTACAAACCTTCAAGACAACTGACTTCTCCCCTCCTCAAACGCCCATTCCCTTCCTCTGCTAATTATATCTTATGAATCTAGTACTCTCTAAACCCAGATGTTTATATTTTAATACCTACATTCTGTGGTTCAACTTTACAAAGCTAGTTAACACATGTTTTAAAAGTTATTGTACTATATATAACAGCCTTGCCTAAGAGAATAGAGGTCTGCCACATTTAGAAAATGCAGGTGCTATGTAAGCCCCCTTTTGAAAGCAAGAACTTAGCTCAGTTTCCTTTGAAGACCCAGAGACTTGAAACTGAAAACTTTTATTAATGCCATTGTCTCCTTGTATCAGCAGGTTCCAGAGAGATTCCTGGAAGTGGCTCAGATCACATTACGAGAGTTTTTCAATGCCATTATCGCAGGCAAAGATGTTGATCCTTCCTGGAAGAAGGCCATATACAAGGTCATCTGTAAGCTGGACAGTGAAGTTCCTGAGATTTTCAAATCCCCAAACTGCCTACAAGAGCTTCTCCATGAGTAGAAATTTTAAACACTATTTATGAATGTATAAAAAGTAGCAGAACCCCCCTTTTTGATGCCCAAGTTGTGTGTGTGCCTGTGTGCGTGTGTGTACGTCTATATTCATTTCATATACATATAATATATGTATATGAAATCAGATCATAATCCCTTGTGGTTTTTTCTTAGAGCGGTAAAAAGTGGATAATTATTTTAACTCCAGCTTTTGTTTTACTTTTATCCATGACTTAACATTTCACAGGGGGAGGAATAGTTTACTTCACCCCAACATATTACCCTTGTATCCCTGGGAGAAGAATTTTTTTTCAGTGTGTGCAAGTCTGTTTTAGCAAGTTTAGGACCATTTTGCTCTAACATTGCAGTGCAGTTCTACAGACCACAATTTCCAAAGTTTTCATTTAAGCATATGTGATCATTTTAGTTATTCAAACAAAATAAAAATCCACATAAATCTTTAAAATTTTACTTTTCAAGGACACATGTATAACCTGAATTTTCCCCCTCCTTTTCAGTGTCTTGTATGCCGCTGCAAACATACTGGTATTTAACAATGCCATGAACCATGCGCTTTATCTTAATCAATCCTAGGAACCACTATCTCTGCATTTTGGAAAGGTTGGGAAGGAAGGAGGCACTGTCTCTGTATGTCTTAAGGATCATTACAGCCCAGAAATGGGTTTATTTTAGATTTGGTCCAGATTCTAGAGAAGTCTTGATCCAAATTAGATCAAGGCAGTAAGGTTGGAAACCCAAAGGTTTTGAAGTTCACCACATCACTGCTTACCTTCCTTTTGCCCTTTCAAGCAAAGAATACTGCAAGTCCAGTTCTTTAGCTACATATTTCCCCTAGGGCTGTTTTTGTGGCAACCAACTTGATCTACTTAGAAAAAAGAAGCAAAAAGAAAAAAAGCAAATTGCTTCTCTTAAGGACTTCAGGGGTAGCATTAATTTTTAATTGGTTGTAGGACCTCCATTGGATTTCCAGCTATTTCCAATTTTCTTTCCGAGAGGGGTATTTTGGGCAGCCTGTTTCTAGCCCAGTTTCAGCCCTCAATGATCCAATTTAAAGATCCATTTTAAATCACATTAATTTGCTGGTAGATTATGTGATAAAACTCTCCCATTGAAATCAATGGGACCTTAAGGTTGTATCCTATGTACAATGTATGGTTAAATTCATGGAATTTAGTCATATTGAATTTAGTACTAGCTATCTATAGAACACATCCATTTAATGTTGAAATTTGGCTGGAGTGTGTTGTTACAAATTATCACACTGAATAGTCAGGTCTGGAGCCATGTTCTAAATGAAGTTTTTATTAAACTATATTCTTCTCCCTTTACCCACAAGCCCTTAGGTGGTGTATATATTTGATATTTCATATTTTTACCTGGAAAACAAGTGTTTTGAATTTACCTATACTTCTGGGCTACATTGTAAGATATCTATACTTTATTTTTAAATTACTGAGGCAAAAAATGAAAAAAAAACCCTTTAAAATGACATCATCTCAATGTAAAAGAAACTTTTTTGCATAATGAAAATCGAATAGGCATTTTATAAAAATATTGTTTCATGATATAAACTAGGCACAATATAGAAAGAGAGCACAACTGTGGAGAAAATTTGGCATACTGTGTTTCACTGATGCCGATGGAACATAAGTGGTTAACCATGCTTGCTATCTTACTGGGACTTAAGCATGCTTAACTAGCTCTGGATTATGCCTATAAATCATGCAGAAACTTTATTCCTGTCCCACTGGCTAGGAAAGCAGAAGCTAGCCACTTTTATTATTTCCTCAAATATAAGTGATTCATTAACAATGAATGAAACAAATTGAACAACTTCTCTTCTACAACAAAATTAGCAGAAAGCAAAACATGAAAATAATACATTAGATAAGAAAGAATTGGACTGATCCATTTTTTAAAAAATCATCTCAGAACAGCTTTTTGCAAGGACCTTATGAATAACCGCCACCTAAACTAATTGAATCCTGATCAAAATATGATTTATATAGGTCTCTGGATTAATGTCAATGTGATGCTGTGCATTTAGCTGTCCCTGAAAATGGCAGCCATGAAAATAGTTCTGTATCCCTCCATAAAGTCTACTAGAATTCAGTACTGAGTGCCCTTGGTGGGCAGTGGTTCCTTACCCATGGTCAATGGCATGGGTTTGGGATATGCAAACTGTCACAACACTAAAATATGGTAAATTCTTCTTGGCGTTGGTTATATGACTAATATGCAAGGCTGCCATTTTCAGCAATGAGTGGGTATTTAGCACATAGAGGCAGCTCAAATTTTTGACATTTACAAAAACAGAATACACATGAATGCAGTCCAAGATGAAATTTCTCTTCAAGGTGACCAAAACCAAGTTTACTTTACAGTGCAAAATAGTAATAAGATTTGTATGAGTCCATCTAGAATGAGTTGATATTCTGCCAGATTGGGTGCCTGTTGCTAGTTTTTATGCTTTTTCCCCAATGGTTTCCTTTTTCTTTCCTTCCTTCCTTTTTTTTTTTTTTGCGATGGTATAGTGTCTAGTGTTTTCTGATATGCTATGGCACTATGTATTTGTTTTCTCTGTTGTTTTTTGTACAGATGCAGTAAGAATTTATTGTTAACTGGACTAGCATTTTACATTACTGACCTTTTCCCTTTACAATTTGATAACACTTGATAGACAATGCATTTGCTTTACAGTTTAGAAGGATATTTTTTAAACAATACCCCCTCTCTTATTTTTCTTTTTCCTGGATCTTGATTTTTTTTTTAAAAAATAAATACAAAATATATTTTGACTTTAGAGAGTGAAAGTTTACCCCAGGTGGCATTACTATAAAACAAAAAGCTGACCTAGTAATTGCAGTGATGTACAAATACTGTAGGATAGATGGTTGAAGGTAGTTATTGTCATGAAAAGCCTCAAAACCTGATGATTAAAAAAACCCACTAAAGCAGCCAAGAGTGAAATCCAGTGACCCCTTTCTGCATGCATAAACAGGTTTTCTGCATGCCTGGTGGGGATTTTCTTGTTTCAAGACGTTTGCTCAAGAAAGTAAGCAAGACACATCCAGAAGATATATACTATATCCAAAACCCAATGGGGGGCGGGGGGTTCATACTGTAGCCTAATACACTATTGTTGATCAGGCACAGTTTATTATTCCAGGAACTAACAGAAGACCTACATTCTCACACTTCTCATTCTGAATTTTCATACTTCAGTCTGGGGATATTCAAACTACAACTTGTTAAATCTGAAATGGAGAGCTGTAGTTTCATCATTGTTTTCTACCTGAAATAATAATTTGATCCATTTTTTGTTAAATAAATCAATATTAGATCAGGGTTCTGTCTTTCAGAGGTAAATTGTGGTTTAAATAGATCAATATCAAAGCACCAAAGATGGTGTACACAGAGAGACACATCCAAAGAGATATCTAGAGAATGTGCAGTTCCAAAGCTCATTCACAAATTAATAAAACTTGTATCAAATACCTAAACCAGATCTAATTGTGCATAAGCCTTTTTTTTAAAAGTCTCTTCCATATAGGTTTTTGGGTTGTAGTTACATCATATTTATAAGGGTTTTTTTGTACATAGACTGTGTCTATGCTGTGTAGACAGTGCAGCTGGTAGAATGGGACAAAAGGCCACCATTTTCTGCAGCAGCAGGCATCCAATTGGCAGTATAAATGCCAGGCATTCATTTTGTTTATGATGTCAATGACAACTCCCAATGTAGGGTTTTGCTGAGAATCCATGCTCCTGAATCATTCACAATCCCTTGCTTAGGTTGCTTTTCCCTATTCGTGTCACTGCTAGTCTAGATCCATGACTAGCATAGGAAACAGAGATAAAATTCTGCCAAAATAATGACAGCACAGTGAAACCTCATATCCATTGGGGATACATTCCCAACTGGAACTATAATGACAGATACAATTGAATGTCATTAAATTACCCGACTACTGGCCCAAACAGTATAGAGTTGCAGTGAAAGACTGAGAGATTCCTAGAGAAATATCCTCTCTAAGAATATACTACCATAATGGCTTGGAAATTCACAAAATGATCTGAAGGCATTTCAGTTTGAAAACAAGAAATAAATTTTAGTTTAGACTTTCTTTTCTTCTTATTACAAGAGAAAATTCCAGATCTCACTTAAGCTGAATGAATCCTGTTTTCCAAATGTATAAGGATTTTTCACTGAGCTGTGACAGATAGTTAATATTCAAATTAAGATACACTTTTATGACCATCACTTCTATGCAGTGGCTACCATTTCATTTCTGTCACCTTGGGCATTGAAAAATAAAAGACATATAACAAATGTGGTGGCTATAGTGGATGTGATCCACACTGATGAGCAGGCCCAGCAATAAGAATGCCCACCCATCCTCCAACCATATATTTTCTCAGCAAAACTATACATTGGATTGGGTCATTAAAGGTGCATGGCTGCTCTATTGTGCCAAGACAAGTAGATATAAGGAAGTAGATATGCAAGTGCAGCTTGTATCATGTCAGATACAGAGAAAGAAGTTGGGTAGTATATTCTTTCATGAACTAAGGCCACATCTATATGGGCACCTAAATCTGGGGCCTAGCCAGAGAATTTGTGCTTTGGACTAGCACTGGATTCTGTGGAGGTGTTTACACTCTCTACTTCCAAACAGTAGCAGAATTGGGAGAGGAGTCTCAACTGTCCAATCTGCTGAACCCACTAGATGGTCACTCTTTCCTTTGCTGTTGTTTGTCACCGTGGTGACAACCATGGAGCTCCAGAAAGATCCCAGCCATCACCTTTGGTGATGTTAGGCAGACAGGAGTTTTCTGGAGGTCCCTGGTTGCTGCTGCAGTTGCAAATACAAACCCAGGTAGATGTCATATTCTTTGTCCTATACTACATAGAGAAAAGGGGATGGTGATATTGGCCTGTGTAGACAGCTAGACTGGTTTGAATTAGAACTGCTCCAGCTGTTCATACCAACCCCAAAGTGTGAGGCTCATCCTTCATTTTGAGGAAATTCTGGAACATTCCCTGACTTCTGCTAATCAGGGTAAAATTAGGTTAACTGATTACCCCACATTAGGGGCTGGAAGTACCTAAACTTCAGGTGGACATCTATTCAGAGTTTGTGGCCCATGCCTTAAGTCTGCTTCTTTAGATATTTAGACTAAGAAATTTTATGGTAACCACTTGGTTCTCTCATTCTCTAAGGCCCCTTCCACAGAACTGAATAAAACCCCACATTATCTGCTTTGAACTGGAAAATATGGGAGTGTAGACTCAGACAACCGAATTCAAAGCAGATATTGTGGGATTTTCTGCCTTGATATTCTGGGTTATATGACTGTGTGGAAGGGCCCTGAGATACTATAAGATCTCTTTGCATGTTTATATTCCAAACTAATACAGCTAGGTCTTTGAATAAGAAAGGAGGGTTGGGTTTTTTAAAACAGTTAGGCCCCCACATTGACATTAATATCTCCTAATTCATATATTCTTCATAGAAACTGAAGGTTAGAATGTGTGCCTAGACTTCAAATGCACCAGCGAAAGGATGAAGTCAGTTGAATCCTTAAAACTACCAGTTTTTCTCCCTTTTACAAGTACAATTGTTCTTGTGCCTTCTGTGGCTTACAGTTTTTGTCTTTTTGGACCATTCTCTTCAAAAACCTCTCAATTCCCGGTTACTACAGCTGCAATAAACACTGAATTCTTTTTTTCTCCCCTGCCCCCCTTTTCCTCAGCTGTTTGACATAATGTTAATAGCTATGCATATTTTGTGTCTTTTTAAAGAAAAAAATTAAAAAACAAACAAACAAAACAGAATAAGTTTTTGAAGAAGAGAATTTTTAGAACAGTTTGATAATGCAAATTATTTTTTTCTGAGTCGTTTGAGCAGCATTCAATTTTGAAAAAAATTCTTGTAGAAGCCAATTTTTTGTAACAGTGGTGCGGATCTTGTGTTTTCTTAGCCTAATGAAAAGTAGTATAGAAGCAATATTTCATACGTATTATATATGTGTGTATACATATACATACATATATACCCCCTTATACACCCGATAATATATAGATATATATATGTATATATACTGATATACACACACAATATGCGTGTGAAGTGAAAAGCTTACATTTTCCCCCAATGTAGATTAAGAACCTATTTTAAACATTTGTTATGTTTTGTGAGATGAATGCTCTATTTGAAACTATGAAACATTTAATTCTTACTGTATCTCTGGTTGTGTAATGGGAACGCTTCACAGTTAATGGTTTTTAAAAGGTGAAAGATATTAGAATGTAGTAATTATTTAAGGAAGTGTTTGCCCATATATTCTTGAGGTTTGCTTTGTGCCTCTGAGTATTATTTAATTTAAAGTGTTTTAAGTTTGCAGAATCATTGTTACTGTACCAGGTATGTGGGTGAACATCTATAGCGAGGGGAACTTTTATAAAGCAATGTATGTATTCAGATTGATGGCTTTTCTTGAATAAAAGGCATACGATTATAATAACTACATTCTGAGAACATCTCTTAAATTTGTAAGAAACACTGCAGTTAGTTGTATAGATAGTTGAAAGCATTCTTTAAAACCCAGCTCAGTACTTTTTAAAGAGAGATCTCATCATGTGTCCAGGACTTGAGCAATCTAGTTTCTGTAAAGTTATAGGATTTTTTTTCCTGTATACACAAAGTAATTTATTGGCAAAGGGTTTTTTTTCCCTACCCACAGGTTGATATTAATTAAGAAATAAAAGTGAAGATTTTGTGGCTTTAAATATAGGACTTTCACCAGCAGAACTGAAAGATATAAATAGATATAAATATATATCTATAAATATATATATAAATAAATATAAATATATATAAGAAGTGGTTTGCAAACCCCCTCAAATGAGCATTGTACATGAGAAGTAATAAAAAAATGGGAAAAAATCCTCTTCTATTTGTCATGTGTATTATATAGTAATTATTGGTGTTTTAGTGCAAAGATTTCTTTTTTGGGTATCTATTCTGTGTTTTGGAAGTTTTTAAATAAGCATTGTTTTCAAAAAGCTCCCCTTCAAGAATGTAACTGGTTTATATGAGTAAGCAGTTACTGTATTGCACTTAAATGTTTGGTTGAAGGAAATGCAATTTTGTTTTCTGTAGAACTGTTGGTTGTAAACCATAGAAAAATTGCTCATATAGTGAGCTGGGATAAAAACTGGTGTTTAACCTTTGCATCTTCATAGGGATCGCTCTAATGTGAGGTGGCAGCTTTAGCCATTTCTGTGATTCGAGAATGTCATTTATTTTCTCTGTTCATCAGTTGCCATCAGAAGTACTAAAACATACAAGAAATCTATGGTCAAATTCCAATAAAATGTCCATCTTAAATTCTCCCTCCAAATTATCCAGTGTGGCATTACTAAGGAATCAATTTTATATTGCAGGGGTTTTAAATATATATCCAACCACATAAAACTGAGTTCAAAAGTTAAATGAATATGCTTATTGAACTATTACATTTTAACCAGAAGAGTCAAAGGTTAAGGTATAAAACTGCTATTGTCCCAGCTGCTTCTCATATGTATATAGTTACAAAAGTGACAAAACACTGCCTTTATATTATTTAGCAATATGTTGTAAATAGCATTATTAAACATTTTTGTAATAAAACCCTTTAATTTGAAGTTAGTACAATAACAGAATTAATAAAGTCAATTTTTGATTTGTTTTAAATTTTATTTTTAGCTAGAGGCAATTTCAACTGTGGAATTTTTTTGTTGTTGTTGTCTATTGTTCTGAAGACTTTGCATAATTTATTGGTTTAATTTATCCTAATTTATTTGATGGTGTACAATTTTGTATTGCCAAGGATGTACTGTAATATTAATTGATGATGTGATAAAACATGAAGACTCCCCTGTCTGTATGGAGGGAAAAAAGGTGCAGTAGACAATTGATTGAGAAAAAAAGTTACAATTCTAGCTTGGCAGCTACTAAATTGAAAAAGAAATCAGGAAAAATGGTTTTTGGGGGGAGGGGGGGTGGGGAGGGAGGGAGGGGATCTTATTTTGTGTGTTTTAAGCTTTTGTATACTCTCCAGACCTTTACCTTTTTGCTTTGTACCACTTAAAGGATACAGTAGTTCAATTGCCTTGTGTGCCTTCCATCTTCTCTAAACTGAATGTATGTGCAGTATATATGCAAGCTTGTGCAAAATAAAATATAAATTACAAGCTCATTGCTCATGGCTTATATTTCTTTCTAAACACCTTACACTCCAAAGGAGAACCATCCAAGGGCAAGCTGCCCTAAACATCAGTCCACTAATGATGCAAACTCTCAACTACTTTGTCCTTGAGCAGAGAAACATTTTAATTTTTCTTGCTGCTAAGGAAATTGTGGAAGTTAATGTTTTTTAAATGGTTTCTCATATCCTAGACAATTGTTTGAAACACATGTGTTTGTGCAAAAATGTATTTTACACATTTTATGCAGGTGCAAT